GTATTTAACACATGCCTCAGCATTTACCTATCCACATATTTCAAGTCTGTCGCTGTTGGAGAAGCCTGTTGTTTGCCAAGGTCTACTGAAAAGTTACCCTCGACATTCATGAAGGTCTGGTTCCTCTGGCACACGCTGCTCGCCTCAACCGGTCATTAGGAGCGACTTCCCACGAGCTGAGAATTCCAAACCTCTCCTACAACGCTAACGGGAATGGCCTATACGATCCTGAGCTCTTCCGAGAACTCATCAGACCCTTCACGGTGACCCCTGAAGATCTCACCAATTGGGAAGATGTCTTGGAACGCGGAGACGAAATAGTATGGCTTGTTCTAGTCTTGATATCTCCCGAGAACCTCCGATATCTTGAAATGTGTCACTATTCGTATGTTTGGGATCTTACATTACCAACACCCACGCAATTAGCGTCCCGTTCGGCCTGTGTTTGGGGTTATACACCTTAATCGCATCTCAAAGATGTTAACATCATATCGAAGACAGAGTATCAAAACTTTCTGGCCGCAAGATTTGCCCTATCTTCCAAACTACCTGCCATGAGAGTGTTGTTCCGTGCTGCGGGAGTCCACGAGGAATATGAGGAGGACTATGCTTCGTTTCGGATTTCTCTTAATCTGAAGTCTAAATCCTCTCAAATCAGGGAGATTATTCTCGGCCATTCAAACGACAGGCGGGATGATCGTGTACGTCTCATCCTGTGCCAATCTGGAATATTCCGTGTATCAACATTCCAACTCCGCCGATCACGGGGATGCTTGGCTTAATTTTCGGCCCCAACGATTTCACAGAGCTACGAGAACTACGCAGACCCGTGCGTAATCTCTTGGATTTGGACCACAGACACCCTGACCTGAGCACCTCCTTGGAAGAAATCCTCCCATGTAGATTGGAGTATCTCTGTCTGGCAAAGACTGACCAGGCTGAGTTTGATACACTCAGGCCTCAACTCCTATATTGGTTGTTTGGGAATATCGCACGAGTGCTTCATTATATCTCTCGTCAGCCTTAGTCTCCAATTATCTCAGTCGGGTGCCTAGTTATATATTGTAGAAAGCTGTGGAGGATACGTAGAATGGTGATAGATCGAGTAAAGTAGGACTGATGCGATTATTGGGAGAGGACTCGGGGTGAGGGAAGAAGACATCCCCAGAACTCCTATACTGTATGGTGTTTGAAGTGACGCGGGCAAAACTAGTATGACGTAATATATCACCGATTACGGTCTACTGGCACTCTTAACTACAGTAAGAGAGGGGCTAGCCGGATCACGCAAATTCGAGGTGGTGCGTTTAAGGGAAGTCACCAATTTCCACTTCATATACCATAATTGGAGTTCGGTATCCAGTATTGCTGCTTTAAATCGACTGCATTTTGTACTCTTGCAACTGCATCTGGTGATATTCATGAGGCACAAATCTTATATCTACAACCATGCGGAGTACTGCTACAGTACAATCTTAGGGTAGCGGCAATCTGGCGATGCTTGAGGTATACGATGCCTCCCGTGATAAATAGGCATCCAATAAATAGGGCATAGGAGTTGCGCATTCCAATGCCATAGGCAATCCCCCAGGTCTACTGCAATAATTATTCACCCTGCCCACCCAGAAGATGGCGCATCTTGCTAATCCAGGAGTAATTGGCTACAGGTGCCTTTATTTTAGGTATGAAGGACGATTCGGATACCGTGATGTAATTAGCGTGTCTCTCTGCGGCGTTCAAAATACCACTAGTCCAAATCAGGTTCTAGAGCAAGAACGATGTTCGTTTAAGGGCCAATAATGTAATTGATTAGTGTTTCAATCGAGGCGGGCAAGATTATGCTTCTTTTGATTCGAGAGATTGGTCATTTTATTTTCCTGCAGGTGACGCTGGGTCGTGCCCATCCGCTTTGCCATCAACGCCCGCCCAAACTTGAGGACTCAAGGTGGGACCACCAGCATTATCATGAGATCCTTCTCCTATAAATACCTTGCCCTGGCGTCGGCTCTTGTAGAATTATCTAGACATAACCGTCGCAGCTCCTGCCAATGAGGGTAGTCCAGATTTCTCTCCTCCAGAACCTCTTTTGACGAAACTCAACCTATCCAGACAGTGCAGGTACATCTCTATATTTCTTTGAGGTCCTCTGGTGAATGACTGGGTGGCCTCTAATCGTCAAAGCCTTGGGCATATACAGACTTGTTCCGCGAGCGACTGTCAATATTCTCAATTCGCCATAGGAGCCAACGCCAAACGACCACCTCGCAGCAATCAACAAAAATTTCGAGATTCCTGTGTCATTGACTGCCTTGACAGGGACGGATACGCATATTTACGGCCAAGATGTTGAGTATACAACACGACGATGCATGTTGGCTTAGATATTTGCCTTATGCCAACGCGTTTTTGAGTCGGTATCCAATTATAATGAGAACGTGTAATGTACATATAACACTTTCATGATTGCGAATCCCTTCTCATATGATTCCATGTTATCACTCGTGGCTCAGTGATCAAGAATTTGGTCATCCACAAACTCATCGGGGGTATGAGGCATGCTATCATTGTATTGATCATTCCGGAACTTAGCCAACCACTCAGGGTTATCCGCCATAGTTTGGTTCCACGAGTCCTCGGAATCAAACAGAAGACGCCTTGCTTCCAGCTGGAACATCTCATCCGAAGGAATGGCACCAAGCCTCATATTCTGCTGCGCATAGTGGCTCAAGTGGCGAGTAAGCACCTCGGTATAGGAATCTAACTGGAACCCTGGTTCCTGAACAGGCTCAGGTTCCACCTCACCGGCCTCGGGGGAGACATGTTGACTATCCTCGGCCTCAGAAAATGTGGCCCGGGTCATCATCTGAGAGAGATGATCAGTCACAGCTCGATTCGTGGCGGAGAAAGGGACAAATGTTCGAGATTCAAAATCCAGAAGGTATGGCGGTACGCTATGTGTGATTTGAGCGGCGATCTCCGGGGGAAACTCATGATCACCTTTCCAGTGAGCCATATTGCGGCCTTCCCGGAAGTGGAATGTTAAGTGATTGGCTCGTTCATCCCAAGTAGACATTCGGCCACTACAAAAGCCACACCGTGAAGGGAAATCAGTGACGACCCATTTCCAATCATCGATCAACGGCATTGTTTCCAAGCGGTGGGCCAGACGCAGATGTTGTATAAGGTGGTCTTTGCGTTTGAATATACGATTTTGACGCTTGCAAGCCGAGTAATCATGTTGTTCGAGGTGGTCAGCCGAGGGATCGAGTTGGTTGCAGTAGGCACAGTGGACGCGACCAGTCGATGGAAGTATCACGCATCCTCCATGTGGTGCGCAGACCCAGGTCTCAAGATTAAGATGAAGCGATTTCTCATGTCGCATCCAGTCGTATTTGCTTTTGAATTTGTCACAGCAGAAAGTGCAGCTAAATATCCGAGGAGCAGCCGCTGAAGTCGTCCGCTTCTTTTTGCCGGCACAGGCCTTGTTCCTTTTGACTCCAGCCCTTGATTTATGTTGAGACCGACTACTGCTAGAGACACCAGACTTATCGGATCTCCTGGATGATGCGCTAGCAGGGGTTTCTGCGCTCGTTATTGAAGCAGGTCGAGAGATAGTGGCACAATGAATCCGGAACTGCTCGGCGACGCCTGGATTGGACGTGCTGCACCAACTTTCATGATCTTGCTGTTCTTCATTCCCAGTTGAATAAATGGATGGATTCTGAAGTGCGTTTCGAATTGCTGATAAACTGGCAGCTTCACCTTCAGGTGGCGATTCTTTCCAGCGTTCCAGCGGATGGGCTGGATTTGCGCTTGGCGGTATGAAGATGGGACTTGTTCCTCTGTCATTTTCTCGGATGTGATACCTACTTCTGCGGCGTGGGAGGCCTTGCCGCTGCTGGCTTTGCGGTGGAACATATTGACTGGTCGGCCACTGTGGATTAGATCTTGGTCTCGGGCTTTCCATGTCCCTGAGGTCACTTCCATCGGACACTGAGGCTGGAGATAATGAATACTCATGACTCAGAGGTGGGCCCGGCAACTGAGAAGTATAAAGCTGTTCATTGTAAGACCATGAAGAATTGTCATTGGTCTCAAAGGGGAAGTGTTCATGGTTTGCGGCGAAAGAATCCGCCTCCGATGACCCAGCGACCTTGTATGAAAGGGCAAATGTAGGAAATGGAGAAGCAGGGCTTATATCATAGCTGGCGATATTCTGATCCGCGTTATAAGGCTCTGTGTGACACATCGATGAAGGAAGGGCAGACAAATCCTCGTCGCCTTCGGGTGCAGCAAATGACTCGGCAGTGTGAGCTGGCTGAGGCTCATTTGCATGATCTAGATGAAAACTTAATCAATATACCGATCTCAAAACGCACTGTGGTACATACCTTGTGGATATTGACGTGAACCCATCCCCAATTTATTGAGCTAGCTGTCCTGACTTAGCTAACACCATGTAAAGACGAGATTTCAGATGTGAAGTGAAATTTCAGTATTATCTTATACTATTTATTGAGATTTAGGTCAAAGACAGGCAGGATAATCGGGAAGATAATCATTTGTTGCCAGTGCGGTGCCTTTCGGTTGTTTGCTTTTTTGCCCGCGCATCTCCGCAAAAATCCATTTCCGGCGACCTCGTGTAATTTTCAATATGCAATACGTAAAAAGAAAACTGTAACCTAATCCCGAACACATAGCACTAACTCAACATTATAGCCGATGCTTCATTCTCGTTCTTTGAAGTAGATATTTCTTCAAGCCCATATGATTCCTTTAACAGTAGGATATGAGTCTGCAGAAAATATAATTCGTAACATTTAATGGTGTACTAGACCACAGTGAATTACGTTCCTCGCATAGATATGAGCAACCGCCAACCGACAGTGCTGTAAAATTTGGTATGCGATGAGACATCCCACTCATTGAAGTCAAGAGAAAAATGGATAGTGTCTGTCTTATGCATGAAATCTATAAGTATACCGGCGTCGCAAACATATCTAATTGGTATCCTCCTTTTCAGACACCACCTTGACCCATTCATGCTCCACAGGCCCATACATCATCTCTCCAAGCCATTGTTTGAACTTGCTTGTATAATGAGCAGGCGTGCCATCGGGACCAGTAGGGATAGTAATATCCTTTCCGCGGTGCTGGATCGTCGAGATTGCAGTAATGAACCACTTCAAACAGTCAGTATGAATTTCAGCTGGAAAGACGAAATAGGAGAAATGAAACCTACAGCTGTACCAGCAGCAAATGATTCGATAATGCGGCCTTCCGCAGCAGCCTCCATCACCTCACCAATGGTAAACTTCCGCTCGGTGACCACAAGCTCATCACCAAGGCGTTCCTTGGCCAATTCAAGACAGCTGCGACGAGTAATACCATCGAGAATGAGGTTATCATCCAAAGGAGCTGTGATAAGCTCCTTCTTGCCATCTTTCCGCTTCCAGATGACAAAGAAGTTGCTACCTCCTGCTTCGGTACACTCGCCGTCCGGACCATACAGCCAGAGGATCTGGTGGAAGCCCTGTTTATAGGCTTCCTGGGTTGCGAGAACAGAAGGACCGTAGTTGGCGCCAACCTTCGCATGGCCAAATCCACCTGGCCAAGAACGGATCATTCCCTCGGGAGAAGTGAGCAAGCGTTTTCCGCCTGTGGGAGCATCCATTCGAGCCATGTAGCCAATGATAATATACAGCAGAGCTTCTTTGGGTGCGGCAACACCAAGTTGTGAGTCAGAGCCAATTATGGTAGGGCGAATGTAGAGGAAATCTCCGGCGCGTTCCTTGGGGAGCCACTTGGGGCCGTCGGTTGCCACCAATATTTCAATCAGTCTCTCAAGCGCATCAGGATCGAACTTTGGCAGTGAGATACGGTCGGCCGACATCTGGAGACGGCGAGTGTTTCGGTCGTTTCGGAACAGGCGCAGCTTGCCATCGTAGCCGCGATAAGCTTTGAGTCCTTCGAAACATTCGTAGGCGTAATGCAGACATGACGCGCTCGGAAGAAGGTTTAAGGGGCCGTATGGCTTCAGTTCGGGAGCTGACCAGCCAGCTTCGGCTTTCCATGAGGCAATGATCATGTGGTCGGTGCAGATAGTGCCATGGGCGCGCTTGAGAGTCTCTTGATCGGGGACTTTCTGGGGTGTTGTGGTGTAAGTATAGCTCAGTTTAGAGGCGTCGAGTGGTTGTAAGGAAGCCATGTTGAGCTGTAATATTGAATGATCTGAGGCAGGGATGTGCAAACGATCGGGCTCTTTTATGTTAAAGCTTAATAACTAACTATGAGATGGCAAAATGTCTAAATTGGTTTAGGACCCACTAGGGCGTGCCGGCACGCCCGTCGACAGCGCGAGAATTGCACGCCCTGCGGAGTGGGGCCGGCTAACTTTACATTACGGGGAGCCATGGATGTCATTGGACTTTACTTCTTGAATTTCTCTAAATTCTCAATTCATTGCCTTTAGAACCAAATGCGTATGATTTTTGGTTTAAGAAATTACTGTTATCAATGAACTAACTGAAATTACTGTTTGTGTGTACAAAATACAACGATTCGAAGTGATGTAATTAGTCTAATGTTGAACGAAGTCATAGTTGTTGGTCAAGTATGATATTAATATGTGTTTGGCTTAGGTCAAACCAGTGCTGGTTTTCTTCCTTGGCGCAGACAGCATTTTACTTTTCAGCCTCAGCAATTTGCCGTATCGTATGAAAGCAAACGGAATAAGAGTCAACGCCAAAGCGATGAATCCGATGAGCGAGTTAGCCCAGTGTACGCCTAGGGTATTATACATCGACGTCGTTGCAAAAGGTAGGACGACGGCCATGATCGCTCGCGTTCCACTTGCAGCCGCCTGCGCCGATGCAGAACCCTCTTTGTATGCATCGGTTAGGTAATTTAGCATTGTAGTAAAAACCAGGAAATAACCGAATCCGAAGAATATACCTGCCATCATGGGTACTGCTGGATGAATGAAGGTGTAGGAGGTCCAAGCAATCCAGAATAGCGCAGCAACAATTCTGCCAAGAGAGTTAGTATGAAGGATTCGAAGTCGGAGTTCCAAGACATACGTGGGAGCGGCAACACACGCCAGTGGAAGCCGGCGGTATTCTTCTATTGAAGCCCAGGCTTTACCTGCATCCAAAGCCTTGCCGTGGAAAGAGACGTATGCCAGGAACGTACAAAGCCCAAGCAGTGAGCCAAATACCACTATTTGGGTTAGTTAAATTTAATCCAGAAGTCTTCGGGAGGAAAAAAAGGTACGTACTCGGGATAAATGCCAATCCGTTAATACCAGTCGATAGCCCATACAGACCTGATAGCTTTAGTATTCCATGTTCAATATGGATGTGCTCAGCAACTTACCTTCGAAAATCTTTGGGTAAGCCTGGAAAAACAGGAAAAGCACTCCATATATCACCGAGAGATACAGAGACGTGAATGAAACGATGGGCTCTGTGAGTAGCATGGCATATGGCCGAATGAAGATTTCCCCAAATTTAAATGGAAATTCACTCCTTACATGATGGCCACTACCCAGCTCGGCGTCGCCATTCTTCCATTGCCTAATCAGAACAGGAAGGTATGTCTCGGGGGCCAACAGCACGAATGGGACTCCAGATCCAGCAATTATCAAAGCGATCCAGAATACCCATCGCCATCCAAGCAAAATGGCGTACCCTGAAATTAGAGGCCCTGTCATTGGGCCAGCAATTGCAACGAAGATGAAGATAGCCATTGCATTTCCGCGCTGATTGGGCGTGTTGTAGATATCACTGTACAGCCCACCGAGCACAGCGTTCGGAACAGAACCGTTTATGCCGCATAGGAATCTGAAAGCCAAAAGAGCGTCGAAGGTTGGGGATAGAGCACATCCAACTGTAAGAAATGTGTAGCCAAGGTATGTTCCAATGAGGACTGGTCGCCGACCGAAAAACTCGCTCATCGGACCGAATACCATGGGGCCGATGGCAAATCCGAGAAGATATAGGGAGTTCAGGAGTACGAGGCGTGGACTGTCATGAGAGACCTGGAAAGAGTCTGCAATATTTGATGATGCTCCCGATGGGAGAGATGCCCCAAGAGATCCATTGTATGCAAATATTGTGCCAGCGATGACAATTTGATATTTCCTCCACTATTCATCATGCATGTTGTTAGCTCCAGGAAGTTCGTCTGAATATCCAAATCAAATCTAGGAATTTGATGATGTGACTAACTTTTGATAAGTCGACGGGCCTTTTCATAGGTTTTTCGGTCCTATATGAGTATGGAGTATCTGAAATCCCAAGATCTTGAATTGCCATTACAGATGCTCGCGAGGTTGTCGGCATGACAGATGTGAAATTAGGATCGGGCTCGTCTAGATTAAATGGGCTTAGTAAGCGTGCAATTCCGCTAATATTTGAGGAAAGCTGAATAAAAAATTGATCGCAAAGAGGAATATGGCGACGGAACCTTTCTACAATGCACAAATTGACTATAGCCTTATACTTCAAATCCTCTTCAGACCCACGTTACGCAAATACACAAATGGTAATTTGAATTACAGCTGGGCTGCAGGATTCGACGAAGAGGCACGCCCTACCGGCACTGATGATCGGAACCCACAGTGGTGAGCATGATTGGCTGTCTAAGCCTTTTTGCGAGCAGACCAATCAAAACGAGCAATTTCAACCAGAGCTGGGATCTTTCGGCGATCAAGAAATTTGGCCGAGACTGAAACCAATCGCCACTCATGCTAGCTACGGACTTGATACCTCCGCCCCCGGGGAATATGGACCACGTTGTATAAACCTTATACAGTAGTGCAGAGCGGAGCGCAAATAATCGTAACTATCCAAGTACCATGATTAGGAGGCACCTTATACTAAGTGAGATATTAGAACACTGCAACCATAAAACAAACGAACGATGTTAGTCAGAGATTGTAAGTCTACCAGACCGGTTATATATGCAAAAAGAAACGATCGAGAAATATATTGCCCGCAGTGAGAAGGCCAAATATTTCGTGTAGTAAATACCTAGTGTGGTAGGAAAATAGGCTAGTCAGTTAGTTACAGCACAAAGGATTATTAAGTATAATATCTATAAACATAATATTGAGGGCCATATCCTTCTGTTCTAGCTTGACAAAGAAGATGACTTAATCTTGAAGTTGTGACCAAACGTTCAATAAACCAGGAAACATTTTAAAGAGGGCGTGCAAAAGTGGTGGTTGAAGTACAGCAGGGCTGAAAAGATAACTGAGGATTGGCTAACTGAGAGCACCTTCCCCACCTAAAGCGCAGGTCCGTGCATTTTCCTAATACTCTCGCACCCCCAATGTTTCGGGGCTGAAATTAGTTCAGCCTGGTTGCAAGGACCACCTCCGCTCCATTCCGAGCCCTCGGGCGAGACCGAGGAACTTAAACTTACTATCCTCCTCTCCTGTGGTTCACTAGTACTGTATACGATCGCACAATTATTTATTTTGAGGAAGTGCATTGATGACCACTCGTAGCCAAGATATCTAATAATGAGTCATAGTAGTAAAATCAGAGCAATACCATGATTGACAAGTTATAGCATTACCTGCGCAAGCGATTGTCGGGACATTCCTCACAGTTGCGACCAGCGTAGCGGAAGCGGAGGCTCACATCGCCACGGTGCAACACCGGCTCTGGAGACGAGCTGCGAAGACGTGGACAGACATCCACACCCTACCAGCAACCAATCCCCTCCGCAGGAGTACTGCTCAGATCAAGAAATTCAGAAGATACCACCGCTCGCCATTATATCAGGTCGCAGACGCGCTGAAGAGCATTGATATAGAAACACTGGAAACCATCAATCCATTCACATTAGCACCATGGGAGGAACGTGTACAGGGCGATGGCCAGAATGTACCAGAGACACAGACCGAAACGGGCGGTATAATGCGAATCGCGGTCAGCAGTTCGGCGCGGAATGGGATGGTAGGATTTGGCGTGGCGATTGAGAAGCAGCCACCTCGATATCGAAAACCGAGGCTGAAAACTTTCTCCGTCACGCTGGGTGCAAGAACCGAGCAGAACCCATACTCCGGCGAATTGGCAGCAATAGCATACGCACTAGGCACGCTACGGGGACTAAAACGGGGCAGGGTCACGCTGCTCACGAGCAACAAAGCGGCGGCTCTCACGCTGAAGAACCCTCGACAGCAGTCGGGCCAGGAACACATCTGCCAAGCATATAAGCTGATCAAGAGACTACGGAAGCACGAGAACCGCATCAACAACTGTTGGGTCCCGACCAGCGAAGATAATCAACTACTAGGCCTAGCAAAAGAGCAGGCTCGGACCGCGACCCAAGAGGATTCTACCCCGTAAGCACAGGTCCCCCGGGTGAAGTCGACAACACTAAACATCTCAAGATCCCAAGCAGTCCCCAAAAATTGCCTGCCAGAGAATGTAGGGAAACACTCCAAACGAGTGGATACAGCACTCCTAGGAAAACATACCCGACAATTGTATGATCGATTATCGTGGAAAGAAGCAAGCGTGCTAGCCCAGCTCCGGACTGGTATAGCGAGACTCAATAGATACCTCTATCGAATCAACGTCGCAGAGTCAGATCAGTGTGCATGTGGACAAGCAAGAGAGACCGTGGAGCACTTTCTCTTTCGATGTCAGAGGTGGACCACACACCGGACGGAAATGCTGCAATGTACTCATACTCACCGAGGCAACATATCATTTTTCCTAGGCGGGAAATCGCCTTTGGATGACCAGAACTGGAAGCCGAATTTGGAAGCAGTGCGAGCCACAATACGGTTTGCAATCGCCACGGGCCGACTCGACGCCGCTTAACCGTGTCGACCAACACAGATTAACCCTACCCCAACCTAACCCCCACCAACTACCTTGTGCCAGAGACGGTAGACGCGCTTCAATTGCCGAGGATAGGATGTTGACCACTTGGGGAAGCGCCTTCAAGCAAGTCTACTAACTAAACACTAACCCACAAGGACCCGCTAAGATATTGACATCTGAGATGACATACACTGAAAGGAATCTTGTATGGGCTGCAAGGAGACATAGCATTAGCAAAGACGTGTATATTTAGATCTGTGATAGTTGCCCTTTCGGTTCAGCCGCCGGGCGTTAATAAATTGTGTGTGTGTGTGTGTAAAGAGTCACCAGTAATCCGAAAGGTAAACACAAGTAACAATGTATGATTGAAGACGAAGAACTAAACTAAGTACATGAATGAGTGTCCTTATATATCCTTCGCTTCCTATTCCTGGCGTGACTCCCTGGAGTCACCGCTGGAGTCGCCGTATACTCCTGCGTATACTTCTCAAAGTCGACGCGGGAGTCACGGTCACGTGTTCCTGGTTCCGTGTGCAATGATTCCTGGTGTAGGTGATGTCCGATACTCTGAAGTACATATGTACTGGAAACCTCCTGACCGTGGGCCTGATCAAGCTTGATCATGCCTTTGCTCACTGAGCGTGAATGGGTTTCTCTTTCCTGAATATCCGGGGATGTCAGGGTATTAGGTGCTGCACGTGATCTGCTGACAGATAGATTGGTTGGCTCTCGGTGGCCCATCTGTGTACCCGTTGGGGCACCATCGATTGGTGACGGGTAGTTCCGTAACACTCACCACTCATCGGCTAATCAATGACGTTTCGTTCATTCTACTATTATCATGGAAAACACCGTTGAAAGTACAAATTTGGCCAACTGTCTTTCTGTTGCCTAGTGTTCTATAGCCATCCTGTTTTCCTAAATCTGTTGCTCGTTCCATCTGAATCTAGAATATCGAGGAGTTTGAATTACCGAATTTGGTTAGCGTCACTCTGAACCACAGGAATAGAGACGCTAAGTTAAGCATTAGTGAGTGGTAGCCAACGATGGAACGACATAGTCAATAGATCGGGGGTATTTACACGCAGTAACCAGAACACGAGCCCTATTTCCACCTCTGAGCGCTTTGTGCTCGAGGGAGCCATTTCTGTGTACAAAAGTTCGAGGAACAACTATGGTCTCTCCAAATTTGAGACCACTCCAAGGCGGAGTGAGGAGAAGTAACGAAGCCAATCACATACAATCCAATAACTAAATAGGCCGGGACTCTCTCTGAATGGCATCCAGAGTGCCGCTAGTCCAAAAGAGGCAATCAAGCCACCTTTTCTAAGAATATTTCTTGAGATTAAATTCAGACCTTCTAGAGTAGGGTCCTACCATAGTGTGGTGAATTGAAATTGTGTTCTATTTGAGTACGATCTAAGAAGCACTAGCGAAGGAATAAGCTAGGTCCCGAATCCACATAAATATTGCCCAAATTTATTATTTAGTATGTTATTCCATAGATATATCAAGGGAAAAGGTAAACTGAGTCGTCATAGAACCGTTTATGTGGCTGAGGCAATGCAAGATCTGACAAAGCGAAGAAATTTGCCAAGTGAGCTATCTCTTTCCATCAATTTATCACAGCAACCACTCTCAGCGTGCTGCAGAAGGCCACTTATAAAGGCGAATGACGTTTGGCAACGTGGGCATTTGAAATCAAAGTCAGGATCATACGAGGTATAATCCTCTGCTTGGTCGCAATCAAATGCCAGTTGGGTTACGTCCTCGATATCAACGCCGGAAACGCATGTTCCAGCTTCAAGGTGCAATAACACCGCGGAATCCCTGGAAAACCGAGATGAACACCCCGGGCAGATAATATTCTTTTCAACGTGGGTTATCATGTGCTAGATCTGTTTCTTCAGAGTCTTTTCCAAAATTAGAGAAAGAGGCCAGGGAAATACTAACGCTGTTCCGATTTGAAGGACTAGTAAAATACTTTCGACAAGCCATGCACATATTGTGTTTCGCGACATCATGTTGAACAAGCTGACGAGGAGTATTGAATTGCTTATCGCAAGTGACGCAAATATTGTGCTCATCTTGTAGGTGCTCATCTAGTTCATCTTCCGTCGCATAATCAGGAGGAGGTGAGCAGATATGGCAGATGTGATGGTTGAGGGAGTCTCTAATATGCTGCTGTCTGGCTGAAAAAAAAGGAAAGCTTTTTTGGCATCGGGGGCAGTAAGATGTCATCTTTCTTTGTGAATTGAAAGCTGTGTTCCTGAGATTTCAAGTTCCGGGCGACTCGAGTGTCCTTTGACTATTTTCTGCGGGGTATTGGGAGGGGCCAGCCAGCTGGACCGGCCCGAGCCTAAGGCCTCATTGGAACTAGCCCCGACCGGGTGAAATATAACCCGAAATGGCATGGCCGATTCAGCGTATTACGGGGTATAGTAGGGTTCTTACTTAGTTTTACTGCCAAAGCGTCGGGCATATTCATTGAGCATACGGGATTAATGGGAATATGATTTGCGGTACCCACATGGTGCATGTGGGTTTCCCTAAACGCGAGTAAGCCTGTGCCTTTAGCTTCCTGGCGCTACATCTTATAGAGGCGACGTCCATATGCGAAGGGCCATCTCCTTGCCTACTCTAGTGCTATGCTGGAGAAAAAATTACGTACGAAGGTGTACTCAGCGCACCGATAGGGTGGAGATATGTCTGGGATGGAGGTTACGTTCCCTGCGGCAGACGTTACAGCGGACCAGAACCTTGGCAAATTTAAGCCAGCCACAACTACTTGTTGGCCTGAGGATAGGGGAAACTAAATATCTAGCGTTGTGGAGACAAGGCGACTTGAAGAAGCATAAAAAAGCTTGTTTATTAATGATTGAGTCGCCCTCGTGAAGACTGGATTTTTAACTAGCTGAGAGGGGGCGAAGACGGCCTGACGGGGGCACGGGGATGGGCTAGATGACGAAGTCACTTGGCAGTACCGACCAGTGAAAATTGAGGACCAAGAGCTGCGGGCACTGATCGACTCGGGATCCCCAGTCACTTGCATCTCAAAGCCAACATAGTATGAGGGTGGAAGAGCGCTTGTATGGGGGCCTACGAAAAATGGCATGAAATAGGCTTGGCACAGGGCCTGCCCAGGATATCTCTAACCTGGGTAAAATGAATTATTGCAGTAGACTTGGGGGTCGCCTAGAATTTAGGAAATGCGCGTGATTTGGAGTGGAGAATAACTAATATATGACCAATAACATTCATTTCCATGAATTTAAAACTAAAATAAAATAAACTGTCTGTACTCGCATTTCTGAGACAACCATTAGTTTAATCACCAGCTGCAGGTTTGCTGGCCGTTGACCCTCATGCTTTCACAACTAGGGGTCTTGTACTACTCTTCGACAACCATTTGCCTCACATGCTGTGTTCCAATCTTCCAATAGCTTTATATCCCATACCTGGCTCACCAATTATTTAAAACTGCATCCGATCGGCATCCGAACGTTAATTGCGGTGATATCCTCTCCACTCCTTTTGGGACTGGCGGTCATGAAGACCGCTCAGTCGCGTCTAAATTAAAGCCCTTGCGTTCTTGAGGGCATATGGTTTATCTGGATTATTTAATTGGCAGTCCGGGATCCCCACCTAGTCCCACTGATCCCCGCCTGTAAGGTAGAGCGACGTCATTGCCCTGGCTCAATACACTAACGTACGCTGGTATTCCAATGTGTTTTGGAAATGGTCAAAATGTGGTTAGCGTATCTCTTACTCTCGCTGAGAGTGCCACGAGTCTTCAGACCTTGGCAGTCGCGGTTTCGCTCCAGTGGATGTCGACTTTCGAAATTGGTGAATTTCAAGTTTCTTGGTAAGACTCTGATGCGTATTGCTTCATTGAATTGCTGTCCCCGTGCATAACAATTCCTGCCTCACGTGCAGCAGAATTATCAATTAAAGTAATTCGACGGCGACATTGAATTCCTCAAGATGAATAGCGACCAGGAACACTCTTGAAAGAAGGAAGTTTTGCTAGATATTCGGAGCGAAGTCCAAATTTCCGGATCACGTCGCTTCATAGGAGTGGAAGGTAATCGGTCTTCTCGGTAAAATAGAGAAAACAAACGCGACGACAAGTGACTAGGTATAGGTAACCACCAAAGTCACTACAGCTGTTACAATCAGCTGTACGCAGCTTATCATATAGATCTTGGCATGAAAAAGAAAATCCAGTTCTGATGCTGAGACATCCTCGGATCGAGGCTGGCGCGTGCACAATGATTTGTTTGTATTGTGGGATCTGATCTACGACCAGCCTTGCTCGTCTATTGACGCGTCGGAAATGAGTTATTAACTGAATATTAAGCCGTAGAATGACCATTCGAAGGACTTCCAGAGGCATAATTTCCAACGATCCAAGTCCGTAACACGGAACGCGTCGATTATGACCGTTATCTAGATAATAGAGACTTTTAATATCATCTAGCGTGTGATCGATAATACTAAGAAATGTATATGTCGACTCGCTTAGCTTTTGGACTGCTGCCATGATACTAGAGGGAGAATAAGTGCTGGTTCTCGAAGGTGTTTCGTTGATTTAATGAATAACGGAAGGAAGGACATTTAGTCAAGACGATATCCTATATTTGGTTACGCGGAAAGATGTTATTCCGATAAATGTTCCGATATACTCTCTCTTCTTTATCGGCTATATGATAAAAAAAAAAATAAGGGAATGGATTTGAGACTAACGCGGATGCTCCTAAAAGGTATATGATCTATTGGTATAGTGAGCTGTTTCTTGTTATCAATAAGCATTCGCCTTCGCGATAGCACAGCTCCTATGACTTTTGGATTGGACTTGCCTATTCGGTCTTTTTCGACTACCGTATTTTGGCACGGATTATTACCCCGCTGATGTTTTTTTTAAGCCCCGCCACTACCTCTTCGTTCTAATTCTAGATCTGCGAAGTTATATGCCTACGTTTACTAAGAATTCGGCTTAACTAAACGATTTCTAGTCTAACGGCGATCTGGTTGTAACTAGCGTCCTGTTCTAACGAACATATTTTTCGATTTAGGCGACCTAGGTATATAGTCTATTACTTCCTTTTATGGGGTTCCTAGAACCGGATAAGCTGAGAATCATAATGCTATCTAGACGAAAATCGGGCTTACTACCTACGCTTTAGGATTTGGCCCCCGATGGATTAGCTTGCCGACTTCCTTTCTAGCGCGCACTAGCGGCAAATAGGCTAGAACACATTTTTTTATAATGACTCTGGCTTAGTAGAGATTTGGATTAAAGTAGCTAAATACTTTCCCTAATAACTTAAGGGATGCGGGCTATAGGTATAGAAAATCACCGGTATAATAAAGATGGTAGAATAGAAGGGGTTTATTAAGCCTATATTAGGAGAAGGCACTATTATTAGCGGGGAGGCCTTGACGCCAGACTTAAGTCTAGTATTTTTCGAAAAAGAAGTTATCCTTAGTGGCTCCCTCCTTTTTATCCTAGCCATTCCTTAAAGCCTAAGCCTAGTATGATAATGTATACACTAACCGAATCACGTGGATATTAATATCTTAACCGCTCTAGCGTATAAACTAAATCTCTATGCTTAGGTGGGACAATTAGAAGACGCCGTGTCTGTTCGAATATTGCTATTACTATAGTTTTAGTCCGTCGTGGAATATGTGGCTATAGAAGGGGTGAACTAGGGAAAGTTCGAGGATATTATAGTGTCCACGGTACTAGGGAAAAAGTCGGAATATAGTATATCTATCTCGATATCTATGGATCTCGGTAAGTAAAATTGCGGTAATATAGAAGGTATTACTGTGTTAATCGAAGAAGGAAGAATGAATTATAGGAACGTAGAAGGATGCACGGTCGCTATTATTCCTATCTTAGGTTAGACTGCCTAATTGATATTATATGTGATTATCTGTGACTAAATATGTGGTAAAGTACTTACCGAATTTGTTATTACCTCTCCTATACTCTATATTGACTAGATCGTGCCTTACTAATTGCGACTAGCGTTAAATTGGCGTGTTCTTTGATCTTGATATAAAACTGAGTTAAGTTAGTTATATAAATTATAGTCGCTAAAAGCTAGGAAGGACCCACTAGTTAAATTGTCACTAAATCCGTGTGATTCGTCTAAGTACTTATTAGTCCGGGAAGGTTGATGTACCTCGGGTATTAACGGCTCGTCTAAATTCCCGCTAAATACCATTTGACTTCTATCTTCGGTGCTCGTTAGAGTGGAATGATCGAGTCCGTTTAAAGGTAAAACCTTTTCTACTCGGGTTGTGTTAGCTTTCGGTGGCCTATTCTTTTCTATCTATGCCTTAGATTAGTAGAGGGTGTCCCGTATAGCTAGACAATTCGCTCTATAGTAAGATTCGAAATCCGACTATAAACTTTCTGACCACGCCGCAGCTTCTTTTACGGAACGAAAAGAAGATCGTAACGAGCGCCTATATATATAATCTCTCGGGCCGAGATAACCGTCTTTCGGAATAAGGAAATCGATGAGTTAAGGTAATTGTTCAACTATTAGTAACTAGAATTGATGAAATTCGAAAATAGCTACTACAGAAAATAGGCCTCTAGTGACCTCCTCCGGAGCAGTATCCCCTAGGGCTTCCTCTATTAAGCGCTTAAACAATAATTGAATTATTCCTTGATAAAGCGCTTTGTTGGCCACACTACGATCTGTGCCGTAATAGCCAATATCTCTTAGATACTAAGATATTTTACCTCGCCGTTTCTTAGATCTTTATTCTTCTAATCTATAGATTTAAGAGTAAAGTTAGTCAACTCTAGTAGACTAGCCTCGTTCCCGCTCCTATACCGTGAATTCTCGAGTAAGTGAGACCTAATATAGTCCTTTTAAGAGTCTTTCCTTTTTGTTAGGGGTCTTATTCCTATTAATTCGCTTGATATGATCTAGGCGTATATAGAAGCTCCCTCGGCCCTAAATATTATCGAATAAGTTAAAGAGCGACGCTGTATTTTAAGAAAATTCCACGAACTTTAGAAGGTGTTTCTCTATAGCCTATAATAGCTTAGTAAGTCGAGTCTCTAAGGCTGGTTCCCTTTTACGCTTTCTTATATTGACTTAAGCTAAGGCGTCGTGAGTTTTAGGGTTAGCGTTATAATTTCTTTCGGTCGGGTCGGCGGTAGTATATGACTGGTCCTCGAGAACACTCGCTAGAGAGTAGGAGGACTCTCCGAGCTAGCGAGAAGAGTGGTTCTCGAGGTTTTTGTTGTTATAAAAGGGCAACGGCTCTACTTGTATATTAGAGCTCGTTGTGGTTTTATTATAAGATTTAACAGCGAGAACGGATCTGACCTATTCTAACGTTTAGAGCGTGAGGTCACGATAGGTCTAGAGTATTTCCTTCGGGGAATTGAGAAGCACCTATAAAGCCGATATGGTTTTAGCTTTAGAAATAGGCATTTTTATACGAGCGAAGTTCCAAGTTGGGGGGTGGGGAGGTTTAGGGGGGGAGGCTCTACGGGGCTAATGATGAGGGAGAACACCTGGTTTTAGAGAGTGAGAAGAGTAGAAAGGGGTATATGCTTCGACGAGCTAATAAATACGAAGGTTGTTAGAACGCGATCTAACAACCTACGCATTTACTAGCCTCTGGCTTCGCGGGAATATAGGCCTAGTCGTAAGCTTAGACTAATCGGCGACTCCTGGGCCTTTCCCCGCTTTAGTGCTTTAGCTTTAGCTTCGGAGGCATAAAACCGACGAAAAGAATAGAGATATTAAAGAGAGTCTACTAATTATTTCGGATAGTTAATTACTCTATTCCTGATATAACTAGTTACGAAGGGTTTAAGTATAATATTTCGAGCCTCGCTTAATTGTTAGAAGGATTAACTTTGAAATTTTAACTTTATATAACTTTCACCTAGACCTATAATTAGTGGTATATGTAAAAGAAATGATAAGTCTGCTAGATTATTATGATATAAACTACTATTTCTTAGGTTTATCCGAATTATTGACTAGGATTTCACGACTATAAGACTATGGTCTACTTAAGCCTATATAGAGTTCGTTAGGTTTTTTCGAACTATATATCCTCCTTTTTCTTTTCCCCGGGTAACTCGCGCGAAACGCTTTTATTTAGAGGCCTAGATCCTAATCGAAGTAATATATATGAATCCACGAAAGACACCGAGCCCGATAGTAGTGTTTCTACTAGAGATTTAGCGCCGATTCGCTTTCACGTAAGCTGCCCTTTCCCCTATATTAACCACCGAGACCTAACCTAATAAGACTATACGGATTTTGTTTTCTTATAATATAACTTAACTTATAAAAGATATTAAGAGAAATGGCCTCGACGATATAGTTATTAATGCCGTTCCTCTCTAAGAGCTTAGCGCTTAGTATTAAGCCTAGGACGAGTATAGCTATAAAAAGAATGCATTTCTAGTGGATCTTACGGTGCTTAAGTCTAGTATTTTACGGGTTCGGAGGAAATATAGGATTATAAAATTCATTCCCTTAAGTAGCGATAACCTAATTATCTTATAATAACCGGTAACGGACCCTAACTTAAAGAAAGCTCTTTATTACTAGCACCTACACTTAAAATACCTATAGGAGTATAAAAAAAGGCGAGACTTAGTAGCTATTTTAGGATATAAGATATATAAGGGTTTAAACGACTAGTATAATAACTCTCTCTAAGATATTAGTAACTATCTAGAAAAACTCGGATATATTTAATTAACCTACGTATAATTTAATTTATATTTTACACCTACACTAATCACTTAATAGGGCTTAATTTTAGATAAGTAAAAAGTTAAAGTTTAAAGGGGCCGTTTCGTATATAAACCTTTAGGATCTATCTTAAAGTATTCTCTTTACTCTAATATCGTAAGGTTATCTTAAAAAAGTAATTAAGTCCTACCCCACTTCTAAAGATAAAGCACTAAAATGCTAAGTTATTAGCGCTAGTATTAAAATAGTACTATAACTAAGGTCGTGTAGGATATTCTCTACTAAGACGTATAAATCGTTTTCGAGAGAGGTGTTTCTATTAGGGTATAGTTCCTAGGACCTTCTACTTCTTAAAGTCTTATAGATATCTAGTAGTATCCTCGCGTCTTAGCTAGGAGTTTCCGAGGGCGTCTATTCCCTAAGGTACGGAGATTTAATTCTTAATAAGAGTATTACCTTTAAAGGAATTTCTACTAGCCCGTATAGGAATTAGATAGGAATCGCGGTAGGCTTCTAAGGTAAGTATATTATCGTTATAAGCGAGAGGCGTAGGTACTTACTATAGCTAAATCTTTAGTAATAACTAGGCGTAGTTAATAGCTACCTTAGATAGTAGAAATATATCCCTTTATAGCCTCCTAGTTTAAATAAAGAAGCACTAGCTTAAGCTCGAAGCCTCTCTATTAATAATATTACTATATACTTATCTATATGATTTAAATCTATTTAATAAATTAGCTCTATAAAATACTTATTATCTATCTCGCTTCGATTACTTCTATAAAGCTATATA